TTACTTACATTCCCTTTGCACCGAACTATTTGCCCCGTTACGGGCAGTTGGGGATGCTCGCGGTTTTGCTTTGGCTGCATTGAATCCCCGCGCGGGCAAAGGCGCCGCTACTGCGCTATTTAGAGCTGTATGCCGCTGGCCTCACACGGCGTTATAATAAGCATTGCTCGCCCACACGAATGTGTATGGGCACACATTGAGTAGTATAGAAGAGGCCTGCCTCATCTGGCTTATATAGGTGCGGGCCTACGGGCCGTGGTACATAGCTAGAGAATCGCTTGAGGCTTGTGTGTACACTGCAACAATATATAGGAAAAGAAAAGTACGAATTAGAAGACTCGAGTTTTTAGGGTTGGAATCGTGCGGCGTGGCCCGATGGCCGTATGCCGCGTCATCCGCAGATGAGCGACTCTATTTATATGTTGGACACAGTAACCTCCACCTCAACACCGGGGTCGATGTTGATAGACGTGATCTGTCGAACCACGTCGCTTGCAGAGTGCAAGTCGATCAAACGCTTGTAGATACGCAGCTCGAACCTGTCGTATGTGTTCGTTCCTAAGAACATGAGAAACCACAAACGCAAAGCACATACGACCTTTAGCACGCAGGCCTCGCAAGCATCCTGCGGAAATACATCTGCTACGAATCGTATAGGCAGCCTAAGCCCGTATGCCATGCGGGCAAAAAGCGCATTGGGGGTCTTCAACTGATACGCGAAACACGCTCACCCTCTCCGCAAGGCGACTTTCTAGTGGTGACCCGCAGGGTCTTGACAGGCAGGCGTACTGGCCCATTTGTCTGCAGTCTCCTCTGCTTTGCCGCTCCAATGAGCTCCGTGCACACTGCGGATCAACAGGAAACAAGAAGGAAACACAGGAAACAAGCATGAGCAAAATCGATCGGAAATGCGACGGTAAAGAGGCCCATAAATTGTGATTATACGCATCTCCGCATCAACGTGTGCACAGGCCTTCTCCTTTTTATGAAAAAAAAAATGCTATGCATCGTTTGTCAACTCAGTACCCGCCACTGCAAGACAATATACAAAGATAGGTGGGGAGGCAAGAGCTCCACGGTTTCCCTGAAACGCCCCTGAGAAAGAGAGGCGAAGAACGTTATGTTATAAAGTAAATGCTAGTTCATGCTCAGTGAAGGCAAAGGCGCCAAAAGGAGGTTCACGTGTCTCGGCAGGTGCATGACATAACAGNGTTCATGCTCAGTGAAGGCAAAGGCGCCAAAAGGAGGTTCACGTGTCTCGGCAGGTGCATGACATAACAGGTCTTGGCAGCTGCTGATGTTGACCCCGAGCTGATATGCTGGGCAGCTCAGGCTGAAGAAAGAGCATTTTATTAATTTTGATTTCTCACCACGCTCAATAGATTTCAAGTCCTTCGACGTAAGCGTGATGCGAATCCTATGGAGCCGCTGCTCCTCCCCCTCCAAACCCTCCTTGAGCGCCTTGCTCATGCTGGTGGCTACAGAGGAAAAAGGAGGTATAAGTTAGGAATAATAAATCCTAAATACCGCCACAACTGGAAAATGCGTCTCTCCACAACCCTGCATCGCCCGCTATTCCCCACATACAACACCGTCGGGCTTGAAGCAACGGCAGCCCCACTATGCGGTGGGTGCTCTGGCGCGGCCGCTGCTGCCCCACTGCGGCCGCAGGGCTACGGCTTTGGCCAGCGTTCGGCTGCAGCCCCAAATGCAGCGACGTATGAAGAGCCCTAGTGGGGTGCTGTTGCGTTCCCTAACCCCACGCTGGTAGGGCTGCTGGCTTAGGGCATGCTCTCTCGCCTTCCCTTCTTTTGCTGCACCAAGGGGCCCTTTCTTGTGTTTCGCGGGACTTGTGCAGTTTTCTCCGCCTGTTTACTGGTAACACCTGCAAACTCCCAATCAAGAAAGATGGCGGCAGCGGCCACCGAGAAGAAGCGCCCAGTCAAGGGCACTAAGCAGCCGGTCAGGCTCTATGTCCGAGGCATTGTCCTCGGTTATCAGCGGTGAGGGATTTTTCCTCATTTCTTTTTTTCCTGTTTGCTTCACCTCTTCTTCAAGCAAGACCGTGTAGTTTCCCCTAGTGGTTTTATTCCCTCCTGGGTCTTGCGCAGGGGCAGCCCCGTGCTCACCATAAGAAAAATACTGTTATATTCCACCTCTTAGCGCGCCTGCTTTCCTCTCTACTACGGATTCGATGCATGCCTCAACTGGAGCGTAAGGGGCGCCCTTACGAAGGCGCTTGGCGGGGATTGAGGATTGGGGTTAATTGTGTCGGGCTTTTGTTTCAGGTCTAAGGTGAACCAGAACCCATCTCGTTCTCTTTTGCAATTGGAAAATGTGAAGACCAGAAAGGACACCGCCTTCTACCTGGGCAAGCGCGTTGCATATGTGTACAAAGCGAAGACAGAGAAGAAGGGAACCAAGTTTAGGGTACGGCGTGGTTCTAGGGTTCAGGGACGCTCTGCCTGTCGGCTCGGTTGGGCACGGCGCACTACCTAGACTAAGAGTAGTTGCTGCGTACTTAAGAAGACCTTCCCCCTCTAATACACAAACTGTTTGCGTGTTTTGTCGTTTGCAGACAATCTGGGGAAAGATCTGCCGCCCCCACGGCAACAGCGGCGTCGTGCGCGCCCGCTTCAGGAAGAACTTGCCCCCCAAGTCCTTTGGAGGTCGTGTGCGTGTCTTCTTGTATCCTTCCAACATCTAAGTTCTTATACAAACCCTATGTAAGGGGCTTTAACCCTTACTGGGAGACGGGAGCGTATACAATTGACGCTCGGGGAGTTGGAGGGGACCGCGTGTGCTCTTCTGCACGCGAACTGTTGGACTGACACTATTGAATCTCTGTTGATTTTTACACTAAGTGTTGCGTGCTTTGTGCGTTGTTTTTCTAAACTTATAGGGTACAAATATTTACGCAGAATGACTCCTAGCCTTTGCTTGTAGGCCCCCTATGTGCGAATAACATTGAAAAGAATTAGTGTATGAAGAGTTATTCAATTAAAAAAATGTCAGCGTAGGCCCGTATTGCTCCAGTCAGGGAAAGGAAGCCAAACAGGAGAATAAACTGAGTCCCAATCACGTCTATGACCAGTAGGCTGCTGCCTTGTACGCCGCTCTGCGGTAAGCGGCGGTGTTTGTGGTGTAGCTAGACTTCACGATGCTGAGTCTCTGAACTTTTCCACTAGAGCATTCATTTTCTTCTGAAATTCTTGGGCTGCTCTCCCGGGGTCCTGTTGGGAAGAGGTAGCACAGGAACACACGCAGGCGATCGAGAAACTGGCAAAAACAAACGCAGCAGGGACTTGTATATACAAGCACAGTATGGCGGGTGTCAGTCTGGGTGTCGTGTTCCTCGATGGATTCGTTTACCTCTGCTTCGGATATTGCACGACCGACATTGACGATAAGGCCGAGACCATCTTTCCTTAGTCCTGAAGATTGGGGCATAGCTTGAAGGATATTTGTAAACAGGTGGATGAACATTGAATGCAAATTAAAAGCAGAGGCCGCTAGCCAGCATTTTGACCTAATACAGGCTGTCGGTCACTGGTGACATGCAGATCCCTCTCTCCCACTGCACCAACGCTAAGTGTTCAGATGGACTGTAATACAAAACTGGGCCTTTTAACTCCTTGTGTAGGGCGCCCACAACATAATTTGAAAACGAGATCCTCACCTGCTTCAATCGTTGCCTCAAGGTCCCCTCCTTGCGCACCGATGCCCGGGGACAGAAACCATAAGTCAGGGAAAATACAACGAATCCTTCTCATATCGTCCGGGTATGTCGAGCCCACAACTAGGCCAACTATGCCCCCGTCTTCAGTCAGGGCCGGTTCTGAAAACATGTGGCACGTATTAACTATTTGCTTTCCCGTAGAAAAATTGTATTCATAGCGAGTAGTTTCGTGTGTGTGCTGCTCCTTACGCTGACGAACAGTCATATTTATATTCAATATATTTATCATCGTATCCCCACACAACTAAATGACCCTGGGCCCAGGGACTAGTACAAGTGCTCACCGTTTTGTCTCCTTACGCTGTCACACATGTGAGCCACTCGCATGAAAACCTCCAT